TCAGGAGCTGTTTCTAGAAGTTCTATCCTAGTAAACCAGCGGTCGTATTCCGGTTCCTGATAAGCAAACCGGACCTTATACTGTTTTTGTGGACGACCTCTACCTCCTGTCCTAAATACATCTTCATCTACAATGCCGTCGATGTCATATCTGCCATCCATACTTCTAAACACTTCTACATCTACCAAGATCAGTTGTCCCTTACTCTCCTTCTTCATTTTGGCCCAGACTGGCATCGTCTCCTTCAGCTCTTCTGCCACACCTGTGAGGGACGTGCCTAGAGAGACGCTAACACAAGCAGTCTCTGGACAGCTAGCTAGGCACGGGCTTGCAACCTCTGCCATAGGCTCATGTGGTTTGGGAGTTCCTGTGTGCTCGCGCTCGATTCCCCACATGACCTTGAAGTAGGGGCAGTTGCGACCCCTACTGGCGGCTGCCTTTTGACTGCTGGGCAGCCCATCGAGCCTGTCCATACTTAGGACAAAATTTAGTTACGTGGGCCGGGTCACCACAAAACACGTACCCAAGTCCACGCGTTCTAGTCAGACGTGCTGGTCCAAGCCCAAATCCTCCCAAGGCCTGCCCTGTGGCAAGCCTGGGTGCCATCCTCCTTGTGGTGGCCTTCCACCTCGTCGATGTGGGGACCGACAAAAACCTTGGTGATTTGGCGGGGGACCTTGACCCCTACCTCCCACTTGGCGGTTCCCTTGTCCGCCAACCCCCTGTGCGCCCGGTCCTCGGCCTACCATGGCCTGGCCCCTTTGGCCCTGGCCTCCTCCTCTACCTTGCGGCCTCCCTCCAGCCGCGACAACCGCATAAGTCCTCCCCTGCCCTACTCTGCTGTCATCCTCCTCTAACCCCCACTCAATCTCACTGTAGGGGACTTCATTTGTACCACCTTGTTCTAAGGTAAGGATCATGTGATCCTTGGCCCTCACTTGGCCAGAGATGGTACGACCCTTCCACTTCTTTCCTTTTTCCAAGTCCTTATGCCAGAAAGTGGAAACTGGCATGGACTTTGACTCAAACAGGACCACTTCTCTGCTCAACACATCGTAGGTGATGTCGGCCTGTTGAGACCTATCAAAGAAATGCCCACGCAGGACCTCTGGTATTGCACGATAAAATAGTTGGACCAATCGGGGCTCAGTGACCCCATGGTCTGGGACGACTACTAAGTGGTCCATGACGCCCTTGAGTGCTCTTGCACTCCGCCACTGTCGTGAGTGGATGGTCTGTAATTTATCAGAGGCTCTGACGCCGCTCATTGGATCAGCAAATTACTCCCTCAGGAGCTTGAAGAATTGAGGAAGGGGGGTGACCTTAGAGTATGCAACCAGGTTGTTTTCACAACCGGCTGCGCGCGCAAGAGATCTGGCAAAACTGGCCGCTTCGTCCTTGAGGGCCTGGAAGGCGACGAGGACTTGTTCCTCAGTCAGGATGTGCTGTAGGTACACGCAGCTACTGACGCTCGCCTCCCAGTTATCAAAATTCTCCTCCTTCTTTCCCCCGTATGCATCTGGGAATTTAAGCTTAACGGGGTCCTAGCGGGGCCTGGCCTCGCTCTCTATAGCGGCTACTGCTTTGGCACCTTCGATGGCGCCTTCACAGAACTTCCCCACGCTGTCCCTCAAGCGTCAGACTTCTCCTCCAACGCGGGTGACCATATTGCGCGCAAAGTCTCTAAATCCTGAGCGCATGGCACTCAGGGCCACATCCTGACCCCTATTTGCTTGGCGCTCCTCCAACCAGGCCATACTCAACACTTCCAGATATCCCAACATCTTGTCCATTTTGGCAGAGATGTGTGGCTGCCCCTGGACCTCTTGTCGACACTCTCTTACAGCCTATGAACTTCGCCCCTCCTTCTCTTCTTCTCCCTCTTCATCCTCAACTTCCACTCCAACTTCTTCTCTTCCTCCCTTTCTCGCCGTTCCAAAGGGTCCTCCATTGTCGCTAGCTCCTGGGCTAACGCATCCCTCTCGTCTTGGGGCACATAAAACTCTGCCTCCTCGTTGTCCCCCAACGATAAATTAGCGATCCACTCACTTATCTTTTTCTCCATTGTGGCGTCCTCATTCGCCGTGCCACTACTCTCTCCCTTCACTTCCCTGCGTTTTCTCTCCTTTTCTGCTTCTGCTGCCGCTTCTTCTTCAGCAGCCTTCTTCTTCTTTTCCATCTCCTCCTCCAATTCCTTCATCTTTGCTGCCTGCTCCTCTGCCATAGCTTTCAGCTTCGCTTGCTTCAGGAGCTTTCTTCTCTCCTTATTTTCTCTCACTGGGGCGGCCATCTTCTCCTGTTGCTCCTGGGTGTAGGGGCTAGTGCTCGTCCCACTATGGGTCTCAACCATGGTGATAAGTGCACAACCGGATTGACGGTTCCCAACGTCACCACGTAGACTGACAAACCTATTGACTCAATCTAAAGACTCACAGAATCCGGACAGGGATCCTCCCAACATGGATCTCTCGCCTAGACCTACACTATGGCTGTCATTACTAGACCTGTTGCTGATCAGGAGGCATTTAAGGAGATCCCTCGTAACTCCTCAGGAATTATTTAATGTCGCAGATAGGATGATGCGATCAGCAGGTCTCTCAACACTTGGACTGCCTGTTGCGCAGCCCACCACAACTCAGCCTTTCGGGCCTACCGTGCCACACCGAGCAGCCCGCCGGTCTGTACCGGTCCTTGGGAGGGTTGGGCCTCTGGGACAGTCCAGTCGTCAGACACAGTTTTTAGCCCTACTAGGTCTGGTAGGGGTTTGGTCAACAAGGCCTATCCTTCATCCACGGAGTACTATCACCTAGACAGAAGAGACTCGATGCAGAAAGAAGAGACAGACAGACTGGACTCAGCAAGTACCACAGGGTGTGTGCTCATCCATAGGGCGAGGGATAGGCTGAAGGCTTTGCGATATTTTATCGGCTCCAGCTTGGTCAACGCCTTGGTCAACGCTCGGTCAACGCTCGGTCGACGCTCGGTCAACGCTCGGTCAACCCCGGTCAACGCCCGTTCAACTCTGGTCAACGCCTGCGGTCAACTCCCCGGCTATGGCGGCCGTCTTCACCTTCGTCGCCACCCTTCACCTTCCTTCCCTTCACCTCGCCTCTCCCCTCTTCACCCTGACTGTCTCCTGTTTTTTTTTTATTTTTATCGTCTCTCTCTCTTCCTCTTCTCGGCTATGGCTTCTCTCTCATGCTCGGTCTCCTCCCTCTGTCCACTCTCTCTCTCTCCTTCGTCACTCCGTGGTCAAACTTCGCGGCTATGGCCGAAATCTTCTTCTTCGTGGGACTGCGCGGCTCACTTCACAGGTCAGTGACAACCGAACTTGTATCGCTCATCTCTCTCTCTCTCTCTCTCTCTCTCTCTCTCTCTCTCTCTCTCTCTCTCTCACACACACCGTAGCGATATCTCTAGCGCAGCAGGTACGTAGTAACCCAATCTTGTATCGCTCAACCTTCCTCTCTCTCTCTCTCTCTCTCTCTCTCTCTCTCTCTCTCTCTCTCTCTCTCTCTCTCTGTGTTCTTCTTCATTGTGGTCTCTTCTTGCAGGTGTGCGGCGGCTTCTCCAACCTTAAGGTCCGCTATGGCTGACTATGACTCTCGGCGGCCACCTCTGCTATGGCGCATCACTCCTGCGACACACAACTCGACGCGTGGAGTAGCGGGTACCAGCTCCGATACCAATGCAATCAGACTCGCTTTCATTCACACTTTTCATGCATGTAAACAACAGCGCAGCAAACTGGCGACATGCTCCCACTCAAAACTCAGAGATATGACAATCCAGATACGAGTTCACTTTCGATTGCTATGGCGACTCAGCGCCCAAACAACTCTCTGTTCACATGCACCGGATCACCCTGGATATCCCACATGCAACTCTCTGAACACTCACACACACACACACTCGCTACACACTAACTCTAGTTATGGCGGCTATGTCCGCCTCTACCTTATCGCTATGCGACGCTCCTTCTCTCTCGCCCACTTCAGCTCTGGGCTCACTGCAGACCTCCTTGCACAAGCCGCTGTGGCAGCGCTTCCGCATGGCTCACGCAGGAATGAATGAATGGCTGGGTGCTGCCTCTTGATTTATACTTCTGAATGCCATCGGCCCATGGTGCTCACAGTCCCTCGTGGTAGTTGCTGGACCGGACTGGGACTGACTGGACCTGACCGCTGACTGAACGGGGACTCACTGCTATCCCACTGGGGTCGTACTGCAATCGCGCTGCGGTTTAGTCCACCAGTTGACTCACCACTTGCCCGCTTGCCCACTTGCCGACCTTCTAGAAGGCTACAGCTAAGACTGGTGGAACTCACTAAGACTTCTATTCGACAGACCTACAGATCGAACCCTGGCTTCCTATGGACCCTATGACAATCCTATCACTGTTACTAACACACAGGTCGTGGGTTCAACTCTACGGGTCGACACAGGTACTGTACACAGGTAAGGTGGGGACTAGGGATCGAGCCCTGGGATCTGCATCTGCTACTGCAAAAGGTGAAAACCGTTTCACGAGAGCCCTGCTGGGCGGCGCTGCACTGAGAGGGAAGGCTGCCATAGCCGCATAAGTTAGTAGTAGGGATAGAGCTGAGTAGAAGCGGATGTATTCAGAGTGAAGATTCTCAAGTAGAGAGAGAGAGAGCGCATGCATGAAGAAGGCCAGGAGGGACAGAGAGAGAGAAGACAGAGAAAGAAAGAGAGAGTGAGCCACGGAGAGAAGAGAGTCACCTACCTTAGATGAGGATGCTGGTATTGGGTTGCTGAATTCTGCGCTGTTGAGCGCTTGGTAACTGGATCTCTGAAACTGTTTAATGTGATGATTTGTTAGAATTTCTAAGATGCTCATATCTGGACTTTGCATCTCTGGACTCCAGTGTGGATTTCGTGTGATCACTGATCTCTCATAAAAAGCATGATTCGATGGCCGAATCTGGGCCACCGTTAACTGTCTCTCAATCTGATGGGTTTTTATTTTCCACGTGCAGGTGAAGGCAATGGTATCACAGAGGTTAACTGGCAAGGCTGGAAGTGGAGGTGGGAAGAAAGGGAAGAGCGCATCTGTGGAACTGACAGACAGCAACTTCAAAGACTCGGTGCTGAAGAGCAAAGACATCTGGCTTGTTGAGTTTTTTGCTCCTTGGTAAGCAAGTACTGCTCTCACAGCATGAATAACACTGAGCATTTTTTTGATGCAGTCATGGTACCTGACTTCATGCCTATGTTATTTGCATGATCTCTTTCTCTCTCTCTGTTGCATACTGTAACGTGCAGACCAGAACAAGAACAGACCTCTCAATACAAAGTACAAGATAACACAGCGGAAGACTTAGATACTAATGATCCGAACAATCAATATTGCAATGCAGCCCTGACACACATCATCATCATCGTTATCTGGTGTGAAGGGGGTCTGGCGCTTCACACAGGAAGACTGCGCCAGCCCCAACCATACAAGGACGAAGAAGGAGGGGTTAGACAAAGAGGAGGGGAAGATGGGAATGTCGTCAACACCGAGTCTCGACACAGGCCCAAATAGTCCCAACTTCAACTTCTGCAGGGAGTGGAGGACCTTTTCCACTTTCCCATCCTTCTCTAGGCGAAAATACGCCTGGACTCCCTCAACGTAATCCTCTACAACCATGGTACGA